AACTGGTTTTCTTTTTCTTTTTAGTTAATGGGAGAGAGGCAAGTAGGAATAATGGCAAGCAGAACATCATTGAGACGTAACTAAATTCACACAGAAAACACTAAACTTTATGAATATATGTCCTGTTACGTCCTTTTCTTCCGACGATCTAGCCAGCTTTTATATTTATGTTAAACTATATGTTTGTTGTGCAAACATGATATATATATTCGGACTCCGCTTATTATTGGTGTCATCATCATCTGCTAACGAGTATAAAAGAGCCTGCAACCGAAGGAAACGATGCTTACTCACGGGTTAAATTATCAGCAGGTACACGAGCCATCATAAACTAACAAATTAATAATACGATTATCATATTGTATTCAAGAATTTTTGTCATAACGTCATTATATATATGAATTCACCTAGCTGTTCAACATTAATTTTGAAAGTACGGCCACTTTAATTGAGTTGCAAAAGTTGTGAAGGCAGTGATCGATAAAAGTAGTACAACTAACATTTATTCTTTGGAAGATTTCATTTTTCTAAAAGCACTAAGAGTTATTTCATTTTTTTCAAAAAAATGCACACAGTAACCAGGCGATTTCTAAAAGCAAAAAGAAAGTTACTCGTTCGCTTATTATAATGAATCTTGGTGGGAGATTAGTTTAGAAATGACTGAAGTGCGCTTCGGCAATAATGAAGGATAGACTCTTTTGACTCACCTGATCAAAATTTCCCTACTAAATCACTGACTAAATATTTTGACTTTACACGTGATCTCTCACTAGCGTTTTCAGGTTTGAACAAACCTAGTTGAGGAGTCTGTTAGTTAAACTCCTTGTGGTTAAAGTAACCTCAAATAGTTGAATGAGACGTTTCAAGTGTTAAATATTTGCAAACAAACATGCACAGGCACCCATTTCAGGTGCGTCGATCCACTGATTTTAACCTTTGCTAAAGAAACGAACAAATTAACTATCCAGAAACTCGGTTCAAGTAAGATCACTGGAACGGTATTTGTTCGGTTCTGTACCCATCGTAGAAATCGCATAATTAGTATTATAGGTTTTGACTGAAAGGAATCCACGGCAAGGTTGAAGAGGGAATTAAAAAAAAAAAAAAAGCAAATGGATGAGGAAGAAGTCGTGGTCAGTGAATAATGCGGTGTCCCGGATCAGATGCAGTTTATTCTGCAACCCGTATATAGGAGTATAAAGTCGATGAATTATTCATGAGCTAGTGGAGTATAATCGTATAAGCCTCTTTATTACGATATATATGTTTGGCTCTTATGTATATACCCATCAAGAACCTGCTTTTCCATCACTACTAAGAGCTATCTCTTTACTGCTTCACCCGGTAGTGATCCACTTACCTCCACCTTGTCACGTACTGCTGAATTCATCTTATATACACCTCTCACTCGTCTCCTTCCGTGCAACATTATAATCTTGAACAGGCTATACCCGCTCTTCTGTTCAGCTTTCCTTCTTCTCTCAAAATGGATCGTAAAACCGTTTTCTTTCTTATTCTTGTTTCCATGTCTTGTATTCCACTGGTCTTTAGTGTTAGTACCAATCAGTCTCACTTTTTTGTTCTCATGAAGGACTCTTTCTCCGGTAAGTACCCATCCAGTTGGGATGTCACCGGAGGAAAAGCTGTGTGCACCTTCACTGGGGTTGCCTGCAACAATCAAGGAAACGTCGTCAGTCTTGACGTCTCCGGTTGGTCGCTCTCGGGCGAGTTCCCTGAGAATATATGCTCTTACTTGCCGGAGTTACGTGTTCTTCGTCTCAGCAGTAACCGCCTCAAGGGAAACTTTCCCGACACCATTGTCAACTGTTCCCACTTGGAAGAGCTTAACATGAGTTACATGTCTCATGCTGGAAAGCTTCCTGACTTCTCACCTCTGACGTCTCTCAAGATTCTTGATTTGTCATATAACCTTTTCACGGGTCGGTTTCCCATGTCCTTGTTCAACCTCTCCAGTCTTGAGGTCCTTAACTTCAACGAAAATGAAGGCTTCAACTTATGGACGCTTCCGAAGGATGTTCACAAACTCAAAAATCTCAAGTCTATGGTGCTCACAACATGCATGTTGCAGGGCCAAATTCCGGCATCCTTAGGGAACCTTACGTCTCTTGTTGATCTTGAGTTGAGTGGAAACTTCCTCACTGGTCATATTCCTCCAGAGCTTGGGATGCTGAAAAATCTGCAATATCTCGAGCTGTACTATAACAGTCTTGTTGGTGTTATACCTGAGGAGCTAGGAAATCTCATGGAGCTCAGAGACTTTGATTTGTCAGTCAATAAGTTGACCGGGAAAATCCCAGAATCTATATGTCGCCTTCCCAAGCTTGAAGTCATGCAGCTTTACAACAATAGCCTCACAGGAGAAATCCCGGCCGTGATAGAAAACTCAACGTCCTTGAGTATACTGTCTATTTATGATAATTTCCTGAGTGGTCACGTCCCAAGAAATCTGGGTCAGTTCTCAGAATTGGTCGTTTTAGACATGTCTGAAAACCAACTATCCGGTCCATTGCCAACAGAGGTTTGCAAGGGAGGTAAACTGCTCTATTTTCTTGTCCTGGATAATTGGTTTTCTGGAGAGCTACCAGACATTTATGCAAAATGCTTGACTCTTTTGAGGTTCAGAGTGAGCAATAACCACTTGCAGGGCTCAATTCCTAGGGATCTCTTTGGCCTGCCTCATGTTTCAATAATTGATTTGGCATACAATAATTTTTCTGGTTCCATTTCTGAGTCCATTGGAAATTCTAGAAACTTGTCAGAGCTTTTCATACAGAGGAACCGAATTTCTGGACTCATACCTCCTACCATATCTCGTGCTGCCAATCTGGTCAAGATTGATCTCAGTTACAACCTTCTGTCTGGTCCAATACCCTCAGAAATCGGAAACCTGAAGAGGCTTAATTCACTGATGCTGCAAGGAAACAAGCTAAATTCTTCCATCCCCAGCTCATTTTCTTTATTGCAGTCCCTCAACGTTCTTGATCTCTCCAATAACCTCTTGAGTGGGAGCATCTCTGACAGTCTATCTGCACTCTTACCCAACTATATCAATTTCTCGAACAATTTGCTTTCTGGTCCAATTCCTTCCTCGTTGATGAAAGGAGGGCTATTAGAAAGCTTTTCAGGGAATCCTCGTCTCTGTGTGTTGCCGGTTTATGCTAACTCATCAGACCAGAATTTCCCTGTGTGCACACAAAGTAGCAGCAAAAAAAGGCCAAGTGTCATATGGGTAGGTGCAATTGCTGTAGCTTTGATCATCATTGGATTTGGAGCTGTATTGGCCATGAGACGTAGGCCTACCAAAAATAAGGCCTCAACGGAACAAGATGACGAGTCACTGTCTTCTTCATTCTTCTCTTACGACTTGAAGAGCTTCCACAAATTAAATTATGATCGGCAGGAGATCATTGAGGCCATGGTGGATAAGAATATAGTGGGGTACGGTGGATCCGGTACAGTGTATAAGATTGAGTTGAAGAGCGGTGAACTTGTTGCTGTCAAGAAGCTATGGAGTCGAACATCAAAGGATTCAGATCAAGAAGATCGCATGGTTTTGGACAAGGAGTTGAAAAATGAGGTAGCAACCTTAGGAAATATAAGACACAAGAACATAGTCAAACTGTACAGCTACTTCACGAGCTTTGACTTCAGCTTGTTGGTTTATGAGTACATGCCAAATGGTAATCTTTGGGACGCCCTGCACAAAAGTTGGATCAATTTGACTTGGCCTACTCGTCATCAGATCGCACTAGGGATAGCACAAGGTTTATCATACATCCACCACGATCTGCTTCCTCCTATTATCCACAGAGACATCAAGTCTACTAACATCCTCCTGGATGCTCATTACCAGCCCAAGGTTGCAGATTTTGGAATTGCCAAGGTTTTACAAGCAAGAGGAGGCAAAGATTCCACCACAACTGTGATTGCAGGAACCTACGGTTACTTAGCCCCAGGTAAATAATTCTCTGACACAAGTCATTATCTTTCATATTTGAAGAAAACATCTGTTAAAAGACCTATAATATCAGTAATGCTTTCCACACTTGTGCGTTTCGTAATGTAATTTTCAATGAATGTTTGACTCCACGTGTCTTCATGGGTGTCACAGAATATGCATATTCAGCTAGAGCAACAACCAAGTGTGATGTCTACAGTTTTGGGGTGATTCTAATGGAACTGATAACTGGGAAGAAGCCAGTGGAGGCAGAGTTTGGAGAGAACAGGAACATTGTATATTGGGTTTCAAACAAGGTAGACAGCAAGGAAGGGATTAATGAAATAATAGACGAGAGATTATCAGGGTTATTCAGGGAGGAAATTATACAAGTGATCCGAATTGCCATTAAGTGCACCTACAAATCTCCTGCTAATCGACCAACCATGAAGGAAGTGGTTCAACGACTCATTGAAGCAGATCCATGCAGATTCCATTCTGCCAAGTTGTCAGACAGGACCGACACCAAATAAATATCCCATATTGTTGCCATAATAAACTTATGATTAAGTGATGGGCTTAGAAGGGTAAAGGGGGGGCGATTTGACCGGCTGTTGCCAGATCAGAAGTCTCAGACTCCCCCGCTGTGTAATTGAGGGACCCATTGTAGAGGGCAACTTGTTATTATCTTTCCTATATATGCAAAAGTAGTCTGTAGATTCTGTGACTCTGACTCTGACTCTTTGTCGTTATTGCTGCTTCCCTTTCTGACGTATATTTAATCTTGTAAAGAAAATTCTGAGTACTAATGCTATGGAACTTTATTTATACTAATACAACACAGGATCCATATTTCATAGTCTCACACCTGATATCGTTCGCCAACTTGCTCTGATGATTTTTTACTTTTCAGTCCTTGGTTAAAGATACAATGGAATGGAGGATAATTTGTAAGCTGAGGGCCCCTTACGAAGCTAACAGTCAGAAAAGATGAATGGGAAAATCTATTGTGAAGAATCATGTCCCCATTTTAGCTTGGAAAAAGTGGGGGAAAAAAGAAATGTCAATCAAGTTTTTAATTATTTTCTCCCTCTTTATTGCTTTTGGTGGAGACTCTGATTGTTCTTTGAGAACTGAAGCGCGCGTGTGGCTTGACAGGAGCATCTTCCAAGCCTTACCTTACATTGTGATGCATGAATCTCCACTCACAAGCTCGATTCCTGCTTAGTTTATTATAGAAAATTTTAAGTGAGTTATCAGTATTCCATTGCCATAAACACTAGCTTATTGCAATGATAATGTCAAGCATTCTGAGTAGAAAATTATATGCAATTACACTATGAGGGATCTAAACACATCGTTAAGGGAAACCCAAGACATGTTGTGTGGAAGGTAAGGTTTTGTGGTGGTCAAAAACTCTACAGGAGGAAAACTGTAAAAGCAGGAAGCACAGGGACATGGACACATTATTGTTTCCTTTGACACGAAAGTATATATGCATGTTCTGGTTCACACGTGCGGCTGCAACTCCCAGTGTATTATGTCTCTGTATGGGTGGATGGCGGGGTCACCTTTAGAAGAATGGGGTTCACAAAGAAAAGGAAAATTATTTCTTTGGGAGTGGTGGAAAGCCCATGAAGAAAAAAGTAAGAAGCTTCGATAATAATAAAGAAATCAATGTCAAGACAAAAGGATCAAAGCCTGCTTTGACTAATTCACTGTGGCCAAGAAGCTAATTCCAGAACATGCGCAATGTCCGCCATAAGTACAAGCAAAAGGGCCAGGAATTGAGACACAAGGACACCGGCATAGTATTAAGTCAGCGAATATTCTAGATATCATATATCATCTTTGTTCATGACAAGTCAGATATCAGTGTAGCCCAGAAGGGAGGAATATACGTGTGTGTGAGACCGGGACATTTACTGAATCAAACCGTTGCAGCATTCAAAAGAAAAGGAAAATAAAAATATGAAGAAAAATAAAAACTTATCGATGTTTTGATTCAGGAACAAGGTTCCTGCTGCTACTACAGCAAAAATGTGGTTGTATCTGAATTCAAAGTGGCCCCTCAATCGTACAATTTAAAACTTTGGTTTAAGAAGAAATACCTGCCAATCCAACCAGCTAATATGGACACTGCACATAACATTATCTGTTAAAATAATATAATGCTGTCAAAGTGCCAAGGGACAATCAATAAATATGACCAAGGTGACATCTTTCGACGTAATGCCGATTTCAATCACTTCAAAATTGAATACGCCAAGCTTGCCAATTTATTCGAGACTTCATGATCCCCGTCATAATTGTTCGCTCACTTCTTTGAGAACAAAATTAGTGGAGCACCCACATTAAGGGAATTTAAAATGGGTCTGAACTTTCCCCCCACATACTTCTTAAGCTCTCGCAAAGTCTCGTACGTGGAACGTGCATGGCTAACAGTGACATGAGTATTAATTCAGGGCCCGGCCGCATAATGCTTCCTTGGAGGCCCAGTCCAGGTTCCCATTTGCTTTGAGGCCCAATATCTTCCCCAGATTTTAAATCACGAGCCCAATGCTTTCAGGAAAGCCCCAAACTTAGCAGCCCGCAAAGAGAAAAGAGCGGCCACTTCAGGAGAAGGCTCTTTCAGAGGGATGGGACATGTTTAAAGGTGGGAAAATAAATGCTACTATTAATGAGTATTTCCGTGTCTTTGGAATTGCTATAATAAGGCAGAAGACAACCTGTTTTTTTTTTCTGGCCACGACGTGGGAGGGATCATTCATTCATTCAACAGTTAGCAAAGATACATTAACAAAACCTTAATATCTGGGGGGCCAATCAGGACCTCAAAAATATAAACCCATCCAAGCTCATTCAATGCCGTTTTTTTAGATGTCATTTCTTAGCTTAGCCCTCCTCAGCCCCTCCCACGAATTATTCGTGTTCCCTTTTTCCATTTTTTCTAAATATAAGGCCAAAAAACTTATGCGTTGAATTCAGGATTTCGAGACGTTTTCTGCTTTTTTTTTAACATTAAAATATTATTTATTTGTCCTTTTTATTTTATTATATTTTGTGGTCAAATTTACTTAATTTTATAAAAGCATATATAAATAAAGTGCACTTATAATGGAAGAGGGAAATAAGAAAGGGGGAAGAAGGTAGTTGCGTGGCGTTGAAGGCAAAGCGCACGACAACAGAGGGAAGCAGACTGCAAATATAGAAACAAAACAGCTCTGGTCTATGACTATGGGTAGCGCATAAATATCCGAGAGCGGGGCAGGGGCAGCCCACCAGGCCCCCCGTCTCTCATTTCGTTTATTATTACTTTGATTCTGAATTGGTTTTTAAAAAGTAATTTTTGACATTTGGAATAAATATATAAGAGGAGTTTTCTCTTAACTTGTATATAAATACTTTTTTTTTCCAATTGATTATAAGGATATCCAAACTCCCTGTCATTCAATATATAGCTAAATGAACAGGATTTAAGATCAACTTTCTCTTTAAACATAGAAATAGAATTATTTATTTATTAAGCAATTTCAATATATACTCCTCCTGTTCTTAATATAAGACCCGTTTAACTAATTTGACTAAATTAACAAAGTTAGATAAGTTAGTTAATTATAAGAAATATGACACGTTTTTTCTAAAATACCATAATCATCTTTCTTAATACCCTTTCTCTATCTTCTACTTGATTATAGCTGAGGAAATATCTATAGGAATAATTTAGAAAAATTAATAAATATAAAAAATAAATCTTATATTTAAAATAAAACCAACTTAACAATTAAGTTCTATATTGAGAACCGGAAGATATATAATCAAGTTTTTATTGCAAGGCAACCACACTTCCATGATGCAATAGCGTAATACCGCCTGCTTTTATAAATTAAAAAAAATCCAAATCCAACACTTTTCTTGTTTGACTTTTTCTAGGACATACGCAACAAGGGGGCGCCCGCGCCCATGCCATGCCTCGAAGTAAGAACTACTAGTTCTAGTATACGTTCTATCTATCAAATTCATAATTTTTTTCCTGGTTAAAAAAAAATCTGAACGAATTAAAAAAATTAGTTAAGTTAATGTCAATTAGATTGTAAATCTTGACAAAAACTATTATCTTCGGTCCTTAATATAAAAAGCAGTTGATTAATTTGAGTAGATTAAAGTAATTAGTTATTTATAATAAATAAGTGTTATCTTTTCTAAGCTATCATTGTTAATCAAGTGTATTGACTAGAATTATTATTATTACAAGGACTACTTTAAAAGAAAAATGAATAAATATGAGAGATAGAGTGGGTTGGGATCTTATTTTTAGGACTAAAATAAAAATTAAATAGACTTTTATATCAAAAACAGGAGGTAATAATAATTTAATGATTATAGAATTGAATTGTTGAAGGAGAATAACAATTTATGATCCAACGAATAACTTATATGTATGTTGGTCAAATTTATATGTGTATATATATAATCAACCCTGTGCTCTTTATATTCTAGACAGGAGATAGCAGTTGTAATTTCGCTAATTTGTACATTTAAGGAGGATGGTTTGTAAATTATATTTGCCCTTAAAATACGTGAGTGTACAGATGAACAGAAGAGGGTGCATCGCGTATGGAGAGATTGATATTGACAGCCAAGGCCTGAAATAAGCTCTCATAACTTCATTTGTGGCCCGCGTGTTTAACTGTTGCGATGAACTACGGTCAACCATCCAAAGGAGGACGCATATCCAAATAAAACACTCCTTCATCTCAAATGCTATGCTTTAGATCTTTTAATTCAATTATTTTTATTTCTAAAATTAAACTGAATATATTAGGATTTTAGAATATTTTGTCAATATTAGCCGCCAAAATATATATTTTAAAATTTAAAAACAAAAGATGCAATTTTTCCTACTTGTACTCGTATACCAGAAAAGGAAGGAGGGCAGGGAAGGAGGGTGGGAGTGACGTCACAAGACAGTGAAAATGGGGGGAAAAGGAACGCATGGGTGGAAGGAGGCATCAAATTCCTTCAGGCTGGCATTGTTGGTTTGTTTGGTGATATTAATTTGTATGGTTTCGATGTGAAAGGGGCAAATAAAGAGAAGCAGCGATTGGAGCCCAAGACAGGACACACCAAACGGTGAGCGTTTCCACAAACAGCAACACTCAGAAAGTTGAAAAACGCCTTTCTCTCCCTCCATTCCTAAAAAGCCTCATCCCCCCTTTTCCCCCACCAATCCACATTCCTCTTTACTCTTTACTCTCTCTCTCTGTGAGGGAAGAAAGAACAAAGGCGCGCCTTTGGCTCCCGTTCCTGTCTTCAATGGCCATCGACGAAGACGACGTGATCCTCTCTTCCCTCTCATGCAATCAACGCCATTATGTTCTTCCTCCCAGAGAGTTACCGGCCTCACTCTCCCTTTCTAAATCCATTCTTAGATGAGAGCTTTACAATGTGGCTGTTTGTGTTCTCTTCTCGCTGCTCACTGGGTCCTAAAAGGCAGACAGGATGGAGCCAGGCAATATATATTATATATATTTATCTTAAAATATACCTCGTCTCTTTTCTTTTCGCTTTTCCATCATAGGCTGCTGGAAAAAAAACTTTTTTCCCCTATGCGTTTAATCCCTCGTCTTTCTTTGGTTTTTTTTTTGGTTGTGTTCTACACTTCTACTCCTTTCTCCCCTTTTGTTTTGCGGCAACCTGAGACCTTAAAGGAAGACAGAGGAGAGCATAAGACTCTTCATCGATCTGGTTTTCTGTTATCCTATATTGAAATGCCAAGAACAGGACAGTATATGGAGGATTTTGGTCATTCATTGACTTTCACTTTTTTGTAT